GGGTTTGAACTGCCAGCCTTCTGGTTAGCAGTCAAGTGCCTTAGACACTATGCTACCAGAGCTCCTGCCCGCACACCTTCCTCTCACCCCCTCACTTTTCCCTTCCTGTGACTGAGAGTAGGAGATCAACTCTGGAAGTGGGGTCCTCTAGAAGGAAGTTCCTTGCCTCTTGGAGCTAAAGATAGAAAGGACTTAAACAGCTGATATTTGATGGCCCTGTCAAGATGATGGGACCTTAGGCCATGTGACTTGTATCAATGGATTGCAGAGCATTTTGTGTATCAAGAAAACTGCCAACCAGTATTCTCCTTGCTGTGGAAAGCCAACCCAGAAGCTTAGTATTGTACTTTGGGGAGAACTAGAGTGAGTCTCTGACCAATAAAGAGAGTGAATTTTACCTGAGTGCCTTAAGTGAAAAGACTTTCTGAAATGTTACGATTACTTACTCTTTCAAGCATCTAGAATGTTCCAGGTAGTGTGCTAAACACTGCGGGAGACAGAGGGGATGAACATGGTTATGAGCCTCCCGTTGCTCTTAGGAAAGTCTCTTCTCAGGGTGTAGATGGCTCCGTGTAATCTGACCCTTGTCTACCTCACCAACCTCGCCTTCTAATTTGTAGACCTTCACTTCTTCACTTAGATGTTACTGTTTTCCAGGAAGCCTTCCCTGACAACCACCTCCTCGCCCACCCCACCACAAGCCTAGATTAAGTGCCAGGGCTTTGTGCTTCGGTTGTCCCCTGTACTTGACCTTCAGAGCACTTCTCAGCTGCACTGTATTTGCCCTTTTACTCTCCTGTGTCCCCATTAGCGCTTTATCGCCCTGTAGTCAGGGACACCTGGTCTGTGAAGGTGCTCAGTAAATACTGAATGAAAAAATTAAAATGGCGATAAGAGACTGACCCCAAGTGAAGGAGTTTATGATCACTACTGGCAGAAGACATGTTCACAGATTATTATAATGTAAATGTGGAAAGAGAGTCACAAACCCTACATTCGAGAAGTTCAAGATGGGGAGGAAGAGTAAGCAGCAGGAGGGGAAGGCCATCATCTGGAAAGACATAATGAAAAAATGTGGCACTCCATCTGGGCCTGAAAGAACAGGGAGTTTTGCCATAGACATACATTGAGAAGGCAGCGTTCAAACAGAGAGCCCAGGCACAGGAGGGTGAAGAGGTGTATAGAGAATGGTGAGGTCCTGTTGGGGTGAAGCTGAGGGTCATCTGTAGGTGAATAGAGGGACGAAGAGTGAGAGAGGAAGGGGCTAGGACCAGAGCTTGGAGAGGGCTGTTGGCCCTGCCTCCTCTGATACTCATCAGCACCTCTTAGCAATGTATTGAGTCATCTTCCTCACAGTCAGGGCCCCTTGAGAATCAGTTGTTAAACTTCCCTGTTGTTGTTGTTGTTAGGTGCTATCGAGTCAGACCTGACTCATAGTGACCCCTCCTTGGGTTTCCAAGGCAGTATCACTACGGAAGTAGATTGCCCAACCTTCCTTCCGAGGAGTGGCTGGTGGGTTTGAACCACCAGCCTTCTGGTTAGCAGTCAAGTGCCTTAGCCACTATGCTACCAGAGCTCTTTAAACTTCCCTATGAAATGCTAAATCCCTGCTTAGCTGCTTTCCTTCCCCTTACTCAGCTGTTTCCCCTCCAAAACTCTCTGCAGATGTATGAACACTTTCCTGTAAAATGGTTTGACTTTTCACTCCCTTGTGGCCTCTTGTGTCCCATTGGGTGGGTTGTTTATGTTTGTGGGTGTGTGTTTTCTTTGAGCAGCAGAAGGAGAGGTTGAAGTACAGGGGTCTGTAGGGTAAACCAGGAGAGGGTGGGAAGAGCACTGCCTTGAAAGCTGAGATTCCCAGGTTCTAGCCCCAGCTCTGCCCTTGACCGGCTGTGTGTCTTTACATGAATCACTTCCCAAAGCTAGCAGCTTCCCCTTCCTTAAACAAAAGATTCAGACCGGAGAACTGAAGATCTGTGATTAGGTAAAAACCCAATGTCAGTTTTAGTTGAAAGGAGAAAGAAGAGCAAATACAAGATTTTAAGTAGAGAGATTTACTAAAGACCTGCAAACCTTCACAACTGAAAAATGAACATTTTCCCTTTTTTTTTTTGAGAGAGAGAGACAATTTAATTTGACAAACACACACAGAGGTACAAAATGCACAAGTGTTCAAAATTACCAAGCAAATACTTGGATTTTGTTGAGAATACTTTGGCCAGAAGGTTTAAAACAATCAGTCAAGAAAGCAAGAGGGAAGATCATTTTGAAAATCTCCCTCATTGACATCACCAGCAATTTCTTGAGCCTCTTTAAGACACAAGCACTGCTGACTGGCATCTAGCCCTGGATTTTTAAGAGATCTAACCATTTGCAAGAGATCTTCACCGAGTTTCTCAGTTTGAAAGGATCTCTAAAGATCATCTATTCCAGTGACTCATGACCTTTTCTGGATCATGGGACCTTTGATAATCCGGGGCCAGTTGAGGACTGTGGGCCAGTATTTGGATAGGGATTAGGGGGAGGCCCAAACACCGTGTCGTGTCGTGTAAAGTCTCAACAGGTTAACACCTGAGTCCATCCAGGTGCTCCACCGGAGTCCGCAGACCTCCAGCTTCC